AAGGATTCACTAAAAACCATGATACCCTTATGTGTTAGGGGCATAGGGTGCTGTGGACAGGGGGAGTGCAGAGTGCACTAATGTTGCTAGTGTGTATGTAGAGGCTGTGAAAGCTAGTGTTTAATCTTGTACAAGGGTATGTGAAGAGAGTGAGATAGCTAAGTGTGTAACTACTTGCATACAACTAGTGGAGATTTTATTGACTGACGCCAAGAACCAAGGTTTTTCCGTATTGAGAGGGTTTTCCTTGTAAATGCACCGAATCTTTTAAGTGTATGTGGAAACTTGTTGAATTTGTTCTCATACTCATCACATTGCATTAATTATACAAAGAAGAAAAGTTATACAAAAACCAATTCACCCCTCCTTTTAGTTCATCGGGCTGATTCTCCTCCTTGGTGTCATCTTCTGTAGTTTCATCAGCTTTGGAATTTTTTGGCATTGGTGGCATGTTTACAATTTGTTCTCCCAGTGCGTCCCACTAGGCGTGCCAAAATGTTGACCTTTAAATCAGCAAGCTCTGCCAATTTAGAAATTGGCTTGTGCAAGCGTGCTAGAACCAGTAAGCTTAATTCGATTTTTTAAAGATCTAGTCTCTTTTGTAAAAATTATGAAATAAACAATGTATGAGAGAGAGAATATGAAACTCTCAATTGGATTCTAATTGCCTTAGATTGAAAAAAGGACTTAATAAAAGAAAAAAAAAAAATGAATTGCAATCAAACTGTGTGTCAAATTGAAATGGAATGAGATGGAACATAATGTAGCTACTGGAAGCAATGAAGGAATCAAATGCTGCAAAAGGAAAATAATATGGAAATAACTAATAAAGGAAATGGAATAACTAGAATAATTAACTAAAAAGGAAGTTGAATTAAACTAATAAAACTAAGATTGAATTAAACTATGAAAGCATGATTTAGAAAAAGTAATTCTATTAATACGATTTTTCTGACGGTGCTGGACCTTTACAACAACTTCATTCACGAATATTTGTACAAAAATTAAAGAATCCAGAAGCTAAGAAACTAAGTTACCATAAAATCCTACCAGAAGATAAACCTAATCCTCCCATGACACAAACCCCTTTTCAACCAACAGGCCTACTTTAACACATCTACTTCTCATATATCGTCAACAAGAATTACCCGATCAACAAACCCAAAACTACCAGCTCATCATACTGTCTTTACCAACCCGTATGCCAAAATGGGTGTCAACAGAACGAAATGATATTTAAAGTCTATTTCAAGTTCAATTAGAGCAGGAGAATTCTGTCTTAATTCTTCATGTCATTGAAAGGAAGGGGAATTAGTCACTAAGAATGAAACAGATCATTCAAGGAGGGTTCCTGTTCTACCAGCAATTTCTTCTACAAAGATTGAGGAATAAGCCTGAAGTTGAGAGAGTTTGAGCTAGGAGTCACATGCCAAACATGTTCAACAACTAATTTTTAGTAGAGTAGAGAGGGTGTGAGCTCAAGTTAGAATTTCTAACTTGACTTTGAGATAGTGGAAACGACAAAGTCTCCGTGGTTTTGTCTCAAGTTAGATGACAAAGCATTTGAAGATTTCTATATATATACAAGGGATACAAAAAACTGAAAAATAAGTTAAAACTAGTAGAAAGTGAGAAATATGCATTGAAGAAGGAGGCTAAGCAAAAACAAAAATTGATTGAGTTGAACAAAGCCAAAGGAAAAAATCTGTTTCTGTCTACCAGCCATGACACCATTGTTGGAGGTTTAAAAGAGAGACTTTAGGATAACTATGTTTTTATCTTTTTGATAGCACACAATTAAACACGTGAGTGATTTAGGGCGATATTCTTCATTCGAACAAAAGGATATTTAGAGTCTATATCAAGTTCAATCATAGCATGAGAATTCGTTCTTAATTATTTATATCATTGAAAGGAAGGGGAATTAGTCACTAAGAAGGAAATAGATCATTTGAGAAGGGTTCCTGTTCTATTAGCAACCTATCTACAAGGATTGAGGATCAAGTCTGAAGTCGAGAGAGTTTGGATAAGGAATCGCATACCAAAAATGTTGAACAACTAATTTTTAGTATAGTAGAGAGGGTGTGAGCAGGGCCGGCCCTGAGAGTCCCAAATATTTAGAGGCCCTAGGCGAACTTTCAAATGTGAGGCCCTTTATAGAAAATGTTTCACACACGCAAAATTTTTATAAGAGTGAATGAAAACGATTGTTTTGACTATCAACCTATCATAATGAGCAAAAGACCTTTAAATTTCATTATACTTGACAAATTTTCATATCTTAAAAATGTGTTTATGTGCAGTGTGCAAAAGACAAATAACTAATAACTAAAAGTTATATCAACAAATAATTGTGTGTCTGTGCAATGTGCATAAGACAACTGGAGTAATAAATATAAATCTATTAGCACTAACAAATAATTTTGTGTGCCCGTGCTGTGTACATATTCAATATTATTAGAAAAAAGTAAATCAAATAGAACAAGCTAGAAGAAGAAGAAAAACAAGAATAATTAGATGGAGTTGGTGTACCATGATTGTAAAGTCTATGAGCTTAAGATTTGATTTCCAAGTTTTGAAAATGACAACATTTTCTTATCAAATTCCAGATCTATGGATAACTCATGTTGGAAGAGGAACAAAATTTCATAATCACATATAAAATACTAAATAATTAATTTACTTGCACGGGAAAAAAACTAAAATTCTATATCAAAATTAGTTAGTAATGAATCTGGATTTTCATAAAAGGCCAACAACTTGAAGCATTAATATATAAATTAAATACTAGAGAGGGATCACAAATTAAGGTTAGAAGTCATAATCAAACATTTCAAGCTCTTTTTTATTCCAAATCTGAGTTAACGAAGAAAATTTACATAAAGGCTAGAAAGCTGCAAATTAAGTCATATTTTAAGGCTAAGGAACCAACTAAATGTAAAAGTTTACTGGAGGGTTTGTTATAAAAGCCAAACAAAGTGCACCAAATCAGAATATCACAAACAAAAATCATCATATATACTAAATAATTATATTCATGATTTTATCATCAAACCAAAATTTATTACAAAATTCTAATAGTTTTTTCTCTTTTATACCTGAACAAAATACATTACAATCAATGACAAATAACACATCAAAAAACAACCAAATCATCATATTACAATCTAAATAAAAATTTGTCACCAAATCCAAAAATCCAAATCATCATTTCATCAAAAGAATATTATAAACATACCAAAATAAAAAATAAATAAATAACCCAAACTTTCCTGTAATCGTGTATTAAAAATAAATTGAACCAGATATAGGATAAAAGGGAGGTAAAAATGCCATGGGGGAAGAATGTGTGGGCTATGCTCCCACCTCGTGACAAGAAAAGACAAGAAAGAAGAGTGAGTGAGCCAAAAAACCAATTCTAAACATGTAAAAACTGGGCCAATATGTTAGGCGTTAATTTTTTTTGCCCATGTTCAAATTTTGAGGCCCCCAAAATAACAGGTAACCAAGAAGAGTGAGTGGACCAAAACACCAATTGTAAACTTGTTAAAACTAGGCCAATATGTAGGCTTTTATATTTTTGGCCCATGTTCAAATTTTGAGGCCTTCCAAAATAAAGGGCAAGCAAGAAGACTGAGTGGCCTAAAACCAATTGTAAACTTGTCATACTTGGGCAAATATATAAGCTTTTATTTTTGGGCCATGTTCAAATTTTGAGGCCCATAAATTTGGAGGCCCTAGGCGACTGCCTTGGCCACGGCCGGCCTGGGTGTGAACCCGAGTTAAAATTTTTAACTTTGCTTAAAGATAGTGGATTAGTTTTGTCAGAGACGACAAAGCCTCAGTAATTTTGTCTCTCGTCAACAACAAAGCATTTGAAGATTTCTATATACACGCGCGCGCGGGTACAAAAAGCTGAAAAAGAAGTTAATACTAGTGGAAAGCAAAAAAGATGCCTTAAAAGGAGGAGACTGATCAAAAACAAAAAATTTATGGAGTAGAACAAAGCCAAAGGAAAAAACCCACAGGTACATCACTCATTTTGTCGGAATTAATGAGAATTCCAGCCCTTCTAGTATCTCAATTACTTGGACTACCTTGGTAATGACTAACTAAATTTTTAAAAACGATGCTACATTGATAAACTTAATCGCCTAAAATGATTCACTAAAAACCATGATACCCTCCTGTGTTAGGGGCACATGGTGTTTAAGTCCAAGTCCAACCAACAACCCAACCCAACTAATATTATAAAAGGCTCACATATATTACAACCCTAGTTTTGATTAAGAAATTGTCCAACATATTACTCATAATACTAACAATTTCCCTTTTGAGTAGGAGATGCTACTCCTAATGAAAATCATTGCACTTAAATCAATGATATAAGAGACCATTTGAGATTTCATTGCCCTTAAGAAACTGACAAAGGAGCATATCAAGCGAGTCTACTTTAGAGTTGCAAACAGGAAAGGTATTTGGAATGTGAACTTAAGATCAATACAAGACGTTTAACTAATATTAAGAATTGACTAAATACTTTGCTTACTTAGTAGGTGTATGAATTAGTAAATGCTATTAGTAAACTAAAGGAAGTTCTATTAGCAACATTGTAGAATAATGTAAATAACTCAAACCATAAGCGATTTATATAGGTGACAATAGTGACTCTTCTAATTTCGACTTGAATTATAGTGTCTTGGAAGCGGAGTTTGGGCAACTTGAAACTAGAATAATAATTGTGCTTTATTCAGGATCCATTTCAGGATTTATCAAGTTCAAGCCACCTTCAGGATAACAATAAATTACAAAATGTCTTCTCATTGGATGACCCCCGTACCAATCCCATGATACCGGTGAGATTTAAATACCAGATTTGCGCAGCGGAGGATATTCGAAAGGATAACAATAAATTATTTCTTAAAACATAATATCAGTTCTCACAAGGAAAATAATAAATAAATAAAAGAAGTGAAAGACAGCACTATAGTAAGTTACCCTGATGATCATGGAGGCCAAGAACATCTACAACTTGCATTACTTGCGCTTCAAAACAAGAAACAGTTGGGATTTCATTGTGCTGCTTAAGTCCAGAAGGGGGGAAAACTCTGCACTTTTTCGGAAAGCCCTTTCAAACATTTTGTCAACAATTTCTCGCCCAAAATGTTTGGTGTAAACCCCTTCCTGGCCGGCTCTTAGGTGCATTACTAGAGTCTGTGGATCAAGTGGAACGTCCGTCTTTGACCGTGGCCTCATCATCTCCATTCTCTCAATACTGAAACACCCGTTTCTGTCTACCAGCCGTGCCATCTCTTTGGGGGATGGAAAATACATAGGCAAGTTGAACGAATCCACTTCGGCTTGATCAAGTAATCCCTGCAATAAATGATTGCTTCACTGGGCTTATGCAAAAGAAAAAAAACAATTTGATGCAAGTGTAGTCAAATGCAACATGCGTTCTCGGAAGTGAAAAGATTCATGATGCAATACACAATATGATTTTTCAGCCGAATTAGTGCAACAAGTAATAGATGTAACCAACTTCTCCAGCTTAAAATTGAAAAAAAAAAAATTGAGTTTCTGTTGATTTATGAATTCAAGCTATATTTCTTTGCTTTCTTTATTCTGGCTTTAACTTGAACAGTGGACCATTGGCTTACCGCATTAACCATATCCACGAGGCAGGACCCAAGAATATCAAGTGTCAGACCTGGTAAGAGCTGAGAATAATGGATATCATCTTCGAGACCGGGTATGATAAGTACCATCATCCCTCTAACGACAGTCTCTTTGGCCCTAGCATCAAGAAAGATCCCCATGTCCTTTTCAAATTGAGATGTGTAAGCATTAAAAACTTCCTCTGAGGCACTTGCGTAGTGAATTCTTCCCTTATTATATGCGCGAGAGTTTCTGTCCAGTAAATCTTCAGGAACCTTTGAGAGCCATTCGAGTGCACAAGAAGAGTACACAAAATGGAGAGAGCTCTTGGGGAATAACCGGCCATAGAAAGAACCTGGAACCCCTGCAGCAAAGTATTGCCTTTCGGGAGGGAGAGAGCTGAAAAGAGTATTGAAATCATTGGAAGCATGGTCACTGAAGAACACTTGGAATTCCGGCATTTTAGTACTCAGGCCTTGAGAATGGTATTTTTTTTCCATGGCTTGAAGTACATTTTGCATGGCAATGAAGGTGTTTGGCCCAACTGAACATCCCAAATCTGCTAGGCGCAATGTGTTTGAAGTAGATGTGAGGCCTTTTACGTCAAAATTCTTTGCAATGGCTTCATTTATCATTTCACTCGCGACATTTGAAGCTTCTCTCTGTAAAAATAGGTCAGTCATCGCTGCCATTATCATAATCGCTACTTCATAAACAAGTCCAGTCTATGTTTGCATAGTTAAAAACTCAATTCAACTGAGAAAGAAAGTTGAAAAGACTTGTATTTCACGACAATTAATCTCTTTACTGAAAAGGAATTACTATAGCTCATATATGGTACAAATGAACTAATGGAATAAGGTAGAGGTATGTATGTGATGAATGAATAAGTGAAAGAGGTTCTAAGCTAATAAAGCTAAATGAAGAAAAAAAAACATAAAATAAAAGAGAGAGGGAGAGATCTGTTTTCCGAAATATGCTAGTAATGTCAAGAAATGCAGTTTGGATTAATTACCATGACAAAGCACGTTCATATAGAAAAATAGAGCACAAAAACGGTTCCTCATTTGTTAATATTCGAATAAATAAGCCTGAAATGAGGCTAAATCCATGTCAATTAGCTTTAAACTAATTAAGTTACACCCATACTTATACATGGGTGAAGTACTTGTGTTAGGCACAAAATATTTGAAGTATGAGCATATGATATGATAAGGATAAAAATAATAGGCAGCTCAAAGCCAAAAGAGAAATAAGATAAGGGTAAGGGATATATCTTACCCAAAATCTCTATGGAATCATAATACCATATGTAACCAGAGTTACCATTCCTATAAGAAGGGAACGATATCATCTTGGATTAGGGAGAATCTCGCTTGAAAAACTACTACCATTAATGTTTCTATAAAAGAAAGGATCAGTCAACCTAAAAAGGTACGCCATAAATTTCATATTGAATCCTTATCGGATATTTAATCGTCGAGTACTAACTTGACCGTCGGAGTGCACCCGACCGGCACCACGCCGGTCATCACTTCTCTTGTCTTGCAGGAATTGTCACAGACTCCGGAGCGTGTAGATTTTTGGCATCAACAGTTGGCGTCGTCTGTGGGAACGTATATTAGTCCCAACAAATTATGGTTCGTACAAGGGAAATCTATGACAAAACTTAAAAGTAATTCAGTCCCTTTACAATCTGGCTTTCTCTAAAAGAAAGAGAACAGTTCATGGATTGCATGGCCAAAAGTAAGGGTACAGTTGCTCAATCCGGTAAAATTGCTAGAAAGTCCCGCCCGACCGCTAGCAGTTGTTTCATCATCGCTGTTAACCGGGTAAGTTTCATGCATTACGCGTATATCAAAATATATGTGTACACTTCCTCACATGATTTAAAGAGAAACGATTTTTTATGTGTTTCCAATTGTCTGCAAAATATTGTTCACCTACATAATCATGTAGTTCACCTGGAGACCCTCCGATAAAATACTACGCTTTGAGGGTATTGTTCACAAAAAATAAAAAAATAAATAAAATAAAAAATTTGTGGGTACTGTTCACAGGGTGTAGAAAAAAAAAATTTATTTTGTGAGTACTATTCACATGAATAGTACCCGCGGGTACTGTTCACAGGGTGTAGAAAAATTATTTTGTAAGTACTATTCACATGAATAGTACCTGCGGGAATAGTACCCATGGGTACTGTTCACAGGGTTTAAAAAAAAAATAAAATAAAATAAAAAAGGTTCTTATTCTAGAGAACAATCGTTAGCTCCATTGATGATTTTGGTCCTATGATGCTCAATGATAAGTTTTTGTCTTAATTGTACCTATTCTGATATATATAAATATGTATATATATTATCCGTTCAAACTGGACATCTGTTCTTTTATTTTTGCTTTGCTAACTTTGCAAATAGAAAGAGAACATTAGTGTTCCTTGTACGCGAGAGGCAAGCTTGGGAATGGGGGCAGAAAGTTAACCTTTCTTATTAAAGATACGAGCTCACGAAACTCTGGAAAATCAATTATTCATGAGGATGAACCTCCCACATTAAAAGGATAAGTTCATGAAACTCGTAATTGCCATTCCCCGTATTATAAGGGATTCATATAAAAGCGCCCCGTACTATAAGGGCTCGAACTGAATGAAGCTCGTAATTGTTGTCCTCCGTATTAAAAGGGGTCGAAATCAACTTGTAAAATATACTTCCCTTTTTAAAGGGCGAGCTGAGTGAAGCTTGTAAAATATATTTTTCTTTTTAAAAGGCGAGTTGAATGAAACTCGTAATTACCATCCCCGTATTATAAGGGATTGATATAAAAGTGCCCCGTACTATAAGGGTCCGAGCTGAATAAAGCTCGTAATTATTGTCCTTCGTATTAAAAGGGGTTGAAATCAACTTGTAAAATATATTTCCCTTTTTAAAGGGCGAGCTGAGTGAAGCTCGTAAAATATATTTTCCTTTTTAAAGGACGACGAGCTGAGTAAAGCTCATAAATATACTTTTTTTTTTTAAAAGGTAAGCTCATTCAGCTTAAAGAAAGCCTACTCCCTCAACTCATGAAGTTTGAACAAATCTTAAGAGATCAACCAAAAAATGTTGCCCAACAAGGGTTAACCTAAAAAAGAGATTGATTTATGCCAAAGAGACGTCACTCAAAAAAACACTTTTGACATTCTCGATACTTGACAGGCAACCACAAGAATGGGGGGCAACTGATAAGGATAAAAATAATAGGCAGCTCAAAGTCAAAAGAGAAATAAGATAAGGGTAAGGGATATATCTTACCCAAAATCTCCATGGAATCATAATACCATATGTAACTAGAGTTACCATTCCTATAAGAAGGGAACGATATCATCTTGGATTAGGGAGAATCTCGCTTGAAAAACTACTACCATTAATGTTTCTATAAAAGAAAGGATCAGTCAACCTAAAAAGGTACGCCATAAATTTCATATTGAATCCTTATCGGATATTTAATCGTCGAGTACTAACTTGACCATCGGAGTGCACCCGACCGGCACCACGACGGTCATCACTTCTCTTGTCTTGCAGGAATTGTCACAGACTCCGGAGCGTGTAGATTTTTGGCATCAACATGATACATGTCCAACATCTATGCTAAAATGTGCACCTAGCAAACTACATTAACACGTATATCTTTCATGCTAGGATCTTTGTCACATTATTCCTTAAAAAATGAGTGAAGTGACCAAACAACTTCTCTATATTAAAATAAAAAATAAAAAATAAAAAATTTTAAAATGAATAATATGGAACAGGACAAACTTCCAAAAGAACCCTAATCTTTCGTACTTTTACAAATTGACCCTGTTAAAGAACTCCCAAACTTTCAGATTACCCCTAAAAATTTGAATACCTAGTCACATCCCCTTGATACGGTCCATGCCTATACTACCCAATACTACCCCATGCCTATACTACCCAATTCTATTTTACATAGGCTTTAACACAACAAAGAGCCAAATATTTTGCGCAGTTAGTATGTTAAAGGACAAATATACAAAGAAATCTTATTGCCAGGTTCATCTGCAACTGACCTGACCTAAGCTACAAACCAGACTGATATAGCAGCCATCATTTGATTGGGTTGACCAATTTTACATTTTTTTTTTTGTTTCTTAGTTGGTATTTACACACACATATCTCCTCGAGGCTCAAACTCTTGACCTCTCTTTGAAAAGTGGGAACCTGATACTGCTAAACCTTTGGCATGTTGATAGCAATTGTACATTGTAAGTTCTCAATTTACGAGCAAACCAACTTGCATAACAAATATTAGTTTTGTTTTTTGTTGGAATTTATATACTTTCAAAATAAAAAATGATACTCTCATTCCACAAAAATAAACACTGACTTGATTTTGTTATTTTAAAAAAATAAAATAAAATAAAATAAAATAAAACCTACCCTGCCCGGTAATTGAGAATCATTCACTTTCATACTTCACTTTTGAATAGTTAAGCCATTTTCTTATAAAACAAATTACATAGGGTGTGAGAATACTTTTAGAATGTGAATATAACATGCTAGTCTTAAATTTGCATGTATGTCATATAGAACATATATGCTGTATATACTGTATTAGCTCTGATACAAGAATGTTTAGTATATGAATTCAGTGTATAAATCGAACGGTTATTGATAAGCAATCATATCATAATTCGGAAAACATGGCAAGTTTGCCAGGTTGAGGGCAATTTTGCAAGAGCAACGAATGTCTGTTTTAGGCTATGATTTGTTTGTTAGTATCCATAACTTTCAAGTAGGATGTTAGTTTTGATGATCTGTTTACCGCTGTGAAATAAAACTTTGTAATTGGCAATATTTGTTATCAAAACAAGTCCAGTCGAGTTGTATTTTTAAGTTTAATTTTCAAGTCTTGAATTCGAAAGCAAAACTAAAGCATTGAGGATAGTGTTGAGGATAGTGTTAGCATACTCTGGTTCAATGAGAACACATATTAGACAAGATAATTGTGTGAGGACATTTTATTTTCATCTTTGGTGAGCTTTAGGGTTAGGCACTTAAAAGGATTTTCAAAATATAGTTTTAAAAAAGTGCACTGCTAAAATGGAACAGGTTGCGCTTAACGCACCTGGTTGTGATGATTGATTTTCGAAATTTACTTTTAAAGAATTACACATTGCCACAGCGAAATCGGTTGCGCTACCCTGGAACCAAATTCGAAATTGTTTTCCTACTCCAATTAGGTTACCTTTTTATCAGATTTTTGTGAGACAATTATGCACGAAATGAACTTGTTTTCGAAGTTATTTTAGGTGTTCAAAAAATTATATAAACACCTTTTCTCACCTAGGTTTTTCTAAGGCTTTTGAGTATAATTTCTGTAATTTTTAGAGAGCCGATTTGTGAGAATTTACTGAATGTTTATTTTCCATAATTGAGAGCTCTACCACACATACTATACACGAGTGATTTAGGATATTTTTCTCTATCTTATCATAGTCCGAATCATTGAAGATCCATTAATACCATTCAGAAAAAGCAGAGCTTCTATTTGTCTTTGTCAAATTCTTATTTGAAGAAAAGGAGGGAGCGATTACACTTTGAAGGGGTCAAATCATTTGCGGAGTGTTGTTCAATAGAATCAATGGAGTAAGCCTGAGGTAGAGATATTGTTGAACGAGGGAGTTACAAAGCTGAAGGCGGTCAGCAATGGTTCTTGGTAGAGCGAGAGGGTCTGAGCCTAAGTCAAAATCTATTGTATTTTTCTTCAAACATAATGGATCATTTTGCTAGAGACCGTTTGATGGTCTCCGAGTTTTTTCGGATTTGTTGGATGATTTCTCCAACTAGATTTCTCGATAAAATTCTGTTGTCTCCCAAACTCTACTGTACTTGCATTTATTTTTGCCTTGTGATTAGTTAATTTAGCTTTCAATTATGTAAATTTACTTTATGCAAAAATTTGGCTAAAGCAACATGTTACACTTGTCGGCACCAACACTTCATGGTCAGACACGTATTCAACACTTCATGGTTGTGCCCGTAACTTGAAAATAATTTTTATTATTTTGAACAATTGCCAACACTTATTGGACACTTAATTGACGCATCTCCGACACTTGGTCGATACATTCTGAATACTCGACCAACACATTCTACACTACATGTCTTATATTAAACAAACACATAACAATCTTAAAAACAACATTATGAACATACATCAAAGTGTTCAACTTATTTTTGTTCAAGAAATTGAAATTCAACGATATGTAATGAACAAAACATAAATATAATGACAAGATAAGAGAATAATATCGTATATAATATAAGATATTATTTTTTATATTCGAATAGTTTTATCTTCTACCTCATGTAACTTTATTATATAAATTATAAATTAATTAATGTTCTATAATTGTCTTATAAATATTTAAATAAAATTTTATTTATATTTATATTAGCTATGTCCACGCCATGTCCATGTCCTATTTTTTTTAGAATTTGACGTATCGGTGTATGTGTTTCGTATGGTGTTCATGTCCTATGTCAATGTTTCTTCGCTCGCTTCTTCGTGATATTATTGTATCCGATGGGCGGATCCAGGGTGGGCTTTGTCGGGCTCAAGTCCACCCAAAAAAAAAAAAGAATTCTATTACTATAGCCAATTTTAGCCCAACCCAAAAAAAAATTATTGTTAGTATTAGCCTACCCAAATATTAGTTCATTCAATTGACAATTCCTAGATCTGCCTTTGAATATTTATAAGACAATTATGTATGTATGTGCAAATACATTGACTGACTGAATTATTTTTCTTTGTGTCTAATTTTCATTCCTTACTTTGGATGAAGGAAGAATAATATTTAATTAGAATTGTCGATTTCCAAATGTTTGTAGAAGTGTGAAATTTGGTTATCATCATATGGAGACTAAAAACAAACTACACGAGTTGCTAAAAATGTCTGAATCTCTCTCTCTCTCTCTCTCTCTCTCTCTATGTGTTTCGGTGTTTTTGTAAGTTAGGGCTTGGTGACAATTTTCTTATTCAAAGTCACAAAATTTCCAAATCAGACTCCCTAATTTGAACTTTACTAGGCTGAGATATGTTAAAATTGTATTTCCAATAAGAATACTCAACTTAGAAAATCATACAATGAAAATGTTACTAATTCACCTCAGACTCTTGAGGGACATCTTTGTAACTCATTATATAGGTAATGATTCATAAAATTGTTCAGCTTTATAATTAATTTCTGATTAATTAATCTTTGCTCACTCTTTGTTAACTTCGTTGTGAACTGTGATGAAATTTCTTTGTAATACAAATCAACCACATACTCAGACGCAAATTATACACACAATACACAAATACATATATATATATATATATATATATATATTCATATGTAAAACATCTGAGCTACCTGATAGTTAGAGTTCTTGGTGTAGCTGTAAGAATCATCTCCCCCATTCATCGGATATACTTCTGGCTCCATTGCTGCTTCCTTGCTGTTCTCTCTCACAATTTCAGGGCCCTTCGCTTTATTTTATATACAGTATGGTTTGCTCTTTGGAGCCCTTTGCTTTATTTTATATAGAGTCTGCTTTGGCGGGTTCTTGTGACGTGAAACGTTGAAGATGGTATCATTTCTCACTATTTAATTGTGAAACTCTTATTCAGGCGATGTAAAACTTTGAAGATTGTTTACCTATAAAAACACAAAAATGTTGAACATTGTACCATTTCTTACTATTGACTTGTTGAATCAAGATTTTTTTATTTCTTCGTGTGACTTGAAATGAAAATTAATAATAAAAAAATAAAATTTGTTGAAGATTGCACCATTTCTAATTATTAAATTATCAAATCACGATTCTATTAATTCTTTGTGTAATGTGAAAGATTGAACATTCCACCTTTAAAAAAAAAAAAAAAGGTTGAAGATTGAATGATTTCTCATTATTTAATTTAATTGTTGCACTGATAAAATAAATATAATTAATTGATTAAAAAATAGTAGATAAATAGTTGAAACGTTGAAGATTGTACCATTTCTTATTATTTAATTGTTGTTACCAAGCTCTTGTAGCCATATTTTTTAACCTCCTAAAGTACAAGATTTAGGGTTCAAATTTATAAAAAGGTAAAGTAAGTGTGTTTGTGTAGTTTTTGTCAATAATAATAACAATAATAATAATAATGGGCACTCATCCACAATATTGTTGCTCTTACCATAACTCAAACTCTCTACAGAGACCATAGCATATTAGCTTATCATCTTTGGTATGTTGTGCTTATTTTATTAGTCAAATGTGTTATAAGAGTTCCTTTTAAATTACTGTTGAATAGGGGTGCACACGGTCCAATTTGGACCGGATTAGGAGTATTTTAAGACCAAACTATTTATAACAGTTCTATTGTTTTTGAAACCAGACTAAACCATAATGCCTATGGAACCAAATCAAACCAAATCACGAAAAACCGGTTTGGTTCAGTTCAGTTCATCGGTTTCAATTGATTTTCTTTTTATTTTACTTTAATTTAGAGGGGGCAAAGTATTAAAAAATAAATTCAACTAACATTGATATAATATGCAAAAAAAAAAAAAAGAAAAAAAAATTGAGATTATTTAAAAGGAAAGAAAATTGAGATATATTTGAAAGAAAGAAAATTGATTTTTTTTTAAAAAGAAATTTAAGGAATTTAAACAACAAAAGAAAGAAAGGGGGCACGTGAAAACTTTACTTGATTTAGGTTTAGAATACCGTTATTATATATATATATATCTATATATTATACAATAAAGTAACAGTTCGGTTCGAGCTGGTCCGGTCCAGCACGACCCTAAATCAGGACCGGACCGAAAAATTATGGTTCCATAATTTTGGACCCAGAATTGGACCAAACCGCTATACAACTAGCCCAAACCGTCCAATTCAGTATGGTCCGGTGTGGTTTTTCAATTTACCGAATTTTTTAAACACCCCTACAAGCTGTTGAACCACTCCAAAACACTTTTATTTAAAATATACTTTTAAATGAGTTGGGTAATAAAAAATAAATAAAATAAAAACAATTTCAAATGAAAGAAATTTAAGCTTAGTAAAGTTTTTTTTAATTAATCTTAAATTTCTAACTTCTAAAATTACTTTATGAGGATATATATATTTTAGGTTACCACAAATTTTTTTTTTTAGACATAATTGAGGGCGTGGCAATTCTTATGCCAATCATTCCAATTTTAATTCAACTAATGATGCTCCGCCAAATAGTCCAACTATTGTTTGTCAGATTTGCAACAAACCTAGCCATGGTGCCTTAAAATGCAAACCGGCTGGTAAGTGTTCAAATGTGACGCATTTTAGCACATAAACTAAGGTATTTTAGTCCATTCATCTATCTTACTTTCATGTCTTAGATATTTATTTGTGTTTTTGCCTATTTCAGGTTAATAAAGCTCAAATAGGCTAACATGAGCCATTTAGCTCAATTTTAGAGCTAAGGAGCAAAATTGGAAAGAAGCAAAGAAAATGCACCAGAGGAGCTTCGATCAATTGAAGGGAATTCCCGATCGATCGAAGAGGTCTAAAATCGATCGAGATGAGGCGGTGTCAGCTCAGCCAATTGGATAAGGCTTGGAAGATATTTTGATGCCATGTTAGCTTCGATTGATCAAGGTTAAGTGTTGGATCGATCGATCGATCGAAAGTGCTGCCGGCAGTGAGCTGCCTAATTCCCGAGTGCGCCGATTTCTACCTAACTTGTGTAGCTGTGAATTTCCTCTAATCATAGGCTGTAATTCTAACTTGGTCCTTACTCAAAGGAGTATGTAATTGATTTATTGAACCATATTGTATCATATCATCATAGAGATATTACCAAATATAAATATACATATATATATATATATATATATATATATATATATATATATATATATATTCCTCTCTCTAGAACTAGGGTTTTGGAAAGAAAGTAAGGATGAAGATGATGATGTCAACCTCCAAGCTAGCCCTTGAGGGTTCCATGACCACTACAATGAGTGGCTAAATCCTTCTCTTGGGGCTAGAGATAGTCCCTAGGCTTGCTTCTCAAGCCTAGCTTTTGTATATTTTTGGGGATTTTAGTTGTAATAGATGTTTTGACCATGAATAAATATAGATCTTGTAATTTTCTAGTTGATTTGTATGGATTAATGCTTTCAATTAATCATTTGGTTCTATTCATATGTCTATGTATGCTAGAATTAATGTTCATATTTTTATCTCTAGATTTAATGAAATTGATGCATGTCTATGTGTGTTAATGATGTTAATCTAGTGGTGGTCAAGACATGGTGCTTAATTGAACACTCTTGTGATTTATTTGACGGTTCACACTTGTTTTTTGATGGATTGTACTACACCTTTAATTGATTAGTTTAATTTTCATGCCTCTAGCCTAGTTGTAGTGTAATTGCTTTAATTTCTTAGGTAGGTGGACAACCCATTCTTATTGTTTGATGTTCCATACTTGTGAATGCAAAAAGTGTATGTCTCTAGATATTTGTGTGTGCATTAATTGTGATTTTATTGAATAAATATTGGTCTCATTTGATAGGTTGTGCTATTTATTAAAATTGGCTAGACAACCTATACTTATTTGCCATCCATGCTTAGCTTTAATTAGTGTCACACACACACACAAGTTACAATTTAAATTTCCCCATTAATGTATAATTGCTAGTGTCCGGTGAAATGAAGCTTAGTGGTGACTCTAAGCCCCAAGACCTCTCTCCTATATCTTTTTCCTATTTTCTAGATTGCTATTTACTCACATTGTTTTTAATTGCATTTTAGTTTACTTAATCAATCCCCAACCATCTTTGATCACTTGACCTACTAATCCGACATTAATTTCCAAGCACAAATATACCTCATTTCCCTTGGGACGATCCCTACTCACTATAGCTATATTTTTAGTTAGAAGTGGCAGTGGCAATTTCTAAATTTAAACTTGGCCACACTACACACTTCATTGCAGCTCGGTACGAGGACACACCAAGTTTTGGCGCCATTGCCAGGGATTGGCACCGTCATATTTTGGAAATTAATTAGGAATTAGTACTCTTTTGATCTTGTCTTTATTTTTATTTTATTTTGGTTACTTATTGTGTTTGTTCTTGATTGGCTAGGTGAATTGTGCCAAGAGGGTGAAGTAAAGGGAAATTGAGAAGCAAAAGAAGCAAGCAAGCCAAACAAAGCTAAGCAAGAGCATAAAAAGCTCAAAAATAAAAAAATTGAAAAGAAAACAAGGCAAAGAAAAAAAAATTTGAAAAATAAATTGAAGTTGCTTAAGGACCCTTTGTGAGCTTTTTTAAACTCTTTCTCTAGTTAAATTGTCGGCCTGCGTGGAGGCAAATTTTTTATTTTCTTTGCTAGATTGTGAGCCCGCGTGGAGGCAATTTAATTTTTCTTGTATATTGTTCAAAACATTGGGGTATGGGATCATTGTATGTGGAGGATTGTTGATTGATTTATTGCGAAGGAGAAGTGCTTGATTTTATTGTTTTTGTTGGTGTGTTGCTTGAAGTGTTGTGCGGTCCTTTCCCTACCCTTCATCTTACGCATTTTAATGGAAAATCTAGAGGGTAATCTCGGTTACTTAGACCCGCATTTCATGGAACATCCTCCTCACAACCAATTTCCTCTCAGAGTTCAAGCTCCAATTCCTCCAATGATTCTTTGTGATCATTACAATTTCCATGAATACCACGCACCGACTTGTATCATGCTTCCAAATTTTGGGGCCGATCAATATGAAATTAAGCCCGAGACTATTTAAATATGTCCATTTTTCTATGGCTTAAATGATGAGGAACCTTATAAACATCTTAATGAATTTCTCGAGATATGCTTCACCGTGAAATACATGAATGTCTCGGAGGAAGTCCTTAGGTTACTCTTTTTTCCCTTCACTTTTAAAAATAAGGCGAAACATTGGTTCAATAACTTAGGGGCAAAATCAATAACTTCTTGGATACAAATGCAAAATGAATTTTTGAAAAAAACTTACCCCGTAAGTTTGACCAATTCAATGAGAACCACCATTAGAGAATTTTCTCACGGGGAAGGAGAACTTTTGCATGAGGCTTGGGAAAGATTGAATGAATTGCTAAGGAAATGTCTACACCATGGCATTCCAAAATGGCAAGTGGTTCAATATTTCTATGAAAACTTATCCGACACTCATAAGGACATAGTTGACACATCATGCGGAGGTTCATATTTTGGAAAGCATGAAGATGATGTTTGACACCTTTTTGTAAAAATATCACACTTCTCGGTTGGGTCATGATTCTAGTGAAAAGAAATTTTTTTTGAAAGTGTGTCAAATTAAAAGTCCAATGGAGATTATAGCCGATGTCAAAACTCTTTCTCAAAAACTTGATCAATTCTTATTGAGTCAAAAATCGGTTATCAAATCATCTCCTTTTCATCACTCCTATCATTCTTG